CCTCGCGCCTTAGCTCGCGGTAGTCATCCGTCGCCGCCCTCACCTTGCGTCTGCCCTCGTACTCGACGAGCGGAGCCCCGCTCCCGTAGTACGGGGCGTAGATTTCCTTGAGGCGCCTCTGCATGGCGTCGATCCCCGAGCTCGGCCCGAGCCCCTCGAGGTGGGACCGCCCAGGCGGCTGCGCCGCCGCAAGTGCCTCCTAGCCCTGCGCAGGCGCCGCCGCCCCCCGCGCCTGCGGTGGCGCCGCCGCCTCCTGCGCCCTCGGTGGCGCAGCTCCTGCATCTGGTGGCGCCGGGCCCACGTGGCCCCCGAGCTTCTGGGCGCGGCGGAAGATCCTCTCGTCGCGCCGTCCCCCGCGGAGCTCCAGCGGCACCTGCAGCGGCGACCCTGGCGGGGCAGGCTGCGAGCTTGGCTTCGCCCATCGCGTCGTGGATCTGCGCAGCAAAGTGGAACGCGTTGCCAACTAGCTTCATGTCCGCCCGCTCGCCTGTCCGCACGCTCACGGCGCGCGGGTCGCCCCCCTCAAGGACAAACCTGAACTGCTTGTGCGCCAGCTTCCCGAGGCTGAGCGCCGCGTCCTGAGGGGCGAGGTCGCGGCTCACTCTGAGGTTCCCCAAGCATGGCTGGCGACCCTTCTCGCCACCTACGACCATCGGGATCCCACGGAGCCCCATCGGTACCAAGCCTCTGGCCGCTCACTGCGGTGAGCTTGGGCGCCGTGGGGCCCTCCTGAACTGTCGGATGCTGCGATCCGAACGCTTGGCCGCAGAGGTGCTCGTCGCTTCCGCTGTCTGCGAGGATGGGCCCTCTGCGCTCCTCCCTGCGGCAGCCTCCGACCGAGCTCCTGGGCCCGAAGACCCAGCCGACCTCGTCCCCGCCGGAGCCCGCGGCCGCCGCGCTCACGGCCCTCTGGCCCTCAGCGCCTGCAGGGGCCCGCTGGGCTGCGGTCGCCTTCGGGGGCGCTGCCGACGGCACCCGAGGCCCACCTGCCGCCTTGTGCCAGCAGTCCTTCTCATTGTGCCCCTGCTTCTGGCACCAGTTGCAGCTTCCCTCGAAGTTGGCGGGGGTGCTGCCCTTGAGCTTGTCATTCTTGACTCCTTTCTTAATGCCCTTGCCGCCCTTGTCGCCTTTGCCGCCCGTCTCGTCGCCCTTGCCACCGCCCGACTTATCGCCCTCGCGCATAGGTCAAGGCTGTCGCGGCAGGGCATGGCCCGAGATCGCACCGATCCCCATCGGCGCCGCGCCGTGGCCCACCGCGCCGCTAGCTGCGAAGACCTGTCCAGACGCCATCACTTCTCTCAGGTGGGTTCTCACCGCCATGTGCGAGACCTCGGCGGCCGTCGGAGCGCTGCGTCGCACGGTCATACACGGCTCGGGGCGATGGGCGAGCAGCGCGGCGATGCGAAACTCATCGCCGAAAAGTCCTTCCCCGCCTGAGTGACGTACCTCGCAACGTCGTTGTCCCAGTCAACGAGCTGGTCGGTGAACGGTTTCTGGTCGTTCCACCTAGATTGAGCAGGCCGCTGAGCATGGCGGCGAACCTGTTGCCCACCCCAGGCTCATACTCGCTCTTGATTGCTAGCCAGGGAACGAAACCCTCGTGCCTGCCTGCGAGCGTGACCATCGCCAGCGCCTCGCGCTGGGTCTTCGTGATCAGCATGGCATGCAGCAGCTTGCTCGTCGCTGCCGCGCGCTCGCCCATGCCGACGTTGTCCACCGCGAGCGCTGGCTGGGCCTCAACGTTGTCGATGAGGTCATCCCAGCCCATCAGCGCGAAGAACGCATGCGCTTTGATAGACCAGCTGGGCCAGTCCCCACCTCTGCCACTGAACTCTGGCAGCTTGATGTCGCCTCTGCAATCCACCAGCTGCTCTCTGGGCGCCGCTGCCATGGACAGCGCACGTCCTCAGTCTTCCCGTGGATCTGATCTGCGTAGTTCACCCCACGCTCTCCGCTACCATGGTGGAAGTTACGCGGAAGCGTGGGGAAAACGTATATTGGGGCTCGTCTCCTCCAACGCAGCTCGAACAAAAGGGCCTACGGAAAAGTCACGAATTGATGGCGTCCAAATCACACAAGATCCCGAGCAAGAACCCTTGCAATCAAACACCGCGTCGCATGCAAAAGCACTCTGTTGACGGCGCATACTCTCTGCAGTGTGAAATGATTCACTATCCCCCCCCCCAGGGTTCCGAATCTCATCTAAGGGAAGGACGGGGTATCCGGGCTCGCCGGCGCACCCCGGGAGACTCTGGAGCGTCTAAATTTCCCTTATGTGGCCTCAGAGAAGTTCCAAAACGGTCCCGAATCGCCCAAAGATTGGCGCAAGGCGCTTACGATGGCTCCAAGACGCCTTCGAGACGCTCCAAAAACCTTACCAAAAGGGCCCCGATTGGCAAACAACAACGGCTTCCCTTCGGCTTTTCATTGTTTCTGGGGTTATCGTCTTCTCGAATTTCCGACGTCCAAGGCGGTTCCACAGGGTTCCAAGACGGCCCAAAGAGGAGCCCAAGACGGCCGAAGATCGTCCCAAGAGAGGGAAAGAGGGAGAACACGAACCGAACATCCCAATTATCTCTCCCCTTAAGAGGCCCCCCGAAGACCCCAAGAAGCCCCCGAGCGGCTCAAAAAAGACCCCCCTGTAAACCCCAAGAGGCCCCCAAGAGGCCCAAATGAGGCCCCAAGACGCTTCAAAACTGCCTCGAGGAGGCTCCGCCAGACCCCCAAACAGCTCCCCAGACGCCCACAAGAGTCCCCGTTGTGCCAAGAAGCCCACGACGCCTCAACCGTGGACTCCCCGCCTTTTCTGGGGGTCGGCGGAATGGCGTAAGCCTTCTCAATAAATCCGAGCATCCGCCAGGCGAAAATGCAATTCCTGAGCAAATTGCAGCTAGGCATCGAGCGACAGTGCGAATTCTGAGTAAACTGTGAGGAAGTCGCAAGAGGAAGCAGTTGAACACTATTACTTCTAAAGAATTATTATTGTTGGACCCCCTGGTGCACGCCCCCCGCCCAAAACCTAGGCCGCAGCTACATTTTCATCATTTTTCTGCGAAAGCTTCAGAAAAGTGGATTACCCCCGGATCCGGTTTTTTGTTGACGCTCGTTTTCCCTTGCAAAAAACAATAGAAAATGAAAATTCTTGTTCTTAGTTGATCAAATTTCAAGAATCCCTTGCAAAAAATAGGTAAAGTGGACATTCGCGCTCGCAAGACGAAATCCTTCCAAAACCTTAGGTTTCGTAGCGATTTTAACATAAAAACATCAAAAACCAGGAATGGTTGTAGAAAAAATGTCCAAAATGTCTTCCGCGCGCTTCTGGATATTCATAGGAAACACACCACTTTTTAAACATTTCTGTCAAAAAGGTCTTTGCGTGCTACTTCTTCAGGTGCTTTGAACTTCTCCAACAACGGTTGCGCGCCTGCGAGGGCCACCATCCCTTGCAAAAAACGAGACGAAGTGCACATGCGCGCGGCCGCCGCGCGCGCATGTCGAAATCCTGCCAAACACAATGGGTTTTCAATATTTTCAAGATGCGATGTTCAGAAAACATATGAAAACGCACTACTTTCTCATCCGAAAAATCTCGAAATCCATTCGCGGTCTCTTGATGAATCTTTAAAACCCAAGATGGCCCCAACCGGCGCGCAAGATGGCCCCAAGAGGCGTCCATGAGGCCCAAAGAGGCGCCCAAGATGGTCCCAAGGGAGCACCGCATTGGGCATCTGGGACCCACGTGTATCAGCCAGGCAGCCGGGCCCGCACGTGTATCAGCCAGGCAGCCGGGCACCCACGCGCCCGCTCCGCGCCATCGCAGACGACGATGCGTCGCGCCTTTAGTATGCTTCTGGATGCGAAGACCATTCGGTTGAGTATACCCCTACGTGTGACTGGACCTGTTTGCGAAAGCAGGAGAAAGTATGGCACCCCTTTGAGTCCAGAGCCGCGCCGTCTGCGTTCTTCCTTTCTCGCTTCTCTCCTTTCCTCCTTGTCCTGCTCCTCCTCCCCCTCTTCCGCCTTGGAGCCGTATTGGAACTGTCGATGGCCATCTCCCTTTCTCCCTCGCATGTCTGCTTGTACATACGTATAATTTCAGAACTTACCGTGCATGCGATCGTTTACAACATGGTGGACCGTGAGTATGTCACGAACCTTGTATACATGTGTTTCTCTCCCTCCGTCTGGCTGTGCACGCGCGCGTTGGGCACTGAGAGTTAGGATCATAGCGCCATGAGTCTATGAGCAATGCATGCGTCATCCTTGGGACTGTATAACATCAGTGTAAAACACATGTACTTCTGTAATCGCATCCCCACGAATTTGCCCCAAAAATGTGACCAACTATCTTGGCACTGCGTACCATCTCACGTGTACCGTGTACCACATCATATGTAACAGATGTGATCAACCTCTGTGGGTGTGTACCCCACGCCAGTGTAGTAGCCAGGGTCGTCCGCACGCCACGAAGTGAAGTGTCCCAACGTCATAGGGCGGGAAGCTGGGTGTGGGTTGTCTCGAAGAGTCGTTTGGATATTTGGTAGAGCTTGAACGGCCCCCCCACGAAGTGGGGGTATTGGCTGGTGTCGCAAGAAAACCCTGGCACTGGGGAGAACACTGAGCGTTCGGGTAAAATGATTGTTGTTGTTGTTGCTGCTGTTGCTGTTGCTGTTGCTGTTGCTGTTGTTGTTGTTGTTGGTGGTGGTGGTGGTGGTGTTGATGTTGTTGTTGTTGTTGGTGTTGTTGGTGTTGTTGTTGATGTTGTTGTTGTTGTTGTCGTCGTTGTCGTTGTCGTTGTTGTTGTCGGGGGGCCAGGGTGTAGTTTGAGCACATACTTCCCTTACAAAACGGAGGCGAGCCCTGGGGGGGCACATCAATTGAAAAACGCAGTGGGCACCGGAGGAGGGGGATCGAAAACATCAAATATTTGCAAATCTGACTTCGACAACCAGCAATACATCTACCACGGCTGCAATCTGCACAGAAATTATGGCCGCCGCCGCGGTGGAGAGGATGTCGACTCCCAGGTCGTCCCGCCCCTGCGGTCGGGAGGGTGGCACGAGCGGGCCGCCCCGTCAGAAGTATTCGTCGTCGACGACGTCGTCGTCGGAGTCGCTGGAGGAGTCAGGCTTTGGACTGGGGCGACGCCGTAAGCTATGCACGGCGGGTTCTGGCCAAAGTAACGCACGGGCGGGCCAGGGGAAGGGCGGGAGGGAGGGGGAGAAGGGCAGGGGAGCAGGGGGAGAGAGGAAGAGAGGGAGCGAGAGCATCTGAGACGACTCACAGTCACCACAAGGAGCCTTAGAGAAGGGACGGGAACCCCTCCGAGGCCCGAGCTGCGCCCAGATGCCCGAGCAGCGCCAGAAATGGGGGGGCTAAACGAAAACGACACTGCACCTCCCAGGACCCCTCCGGGGGTCCGTTCCGACCAGGATTTCGCGGAGAGTCCAGCCGTGGCGACGAGGGAAAGGTGGCAAAATCTGTATCTCCCCCCCCCTCAGAAGCGGAAGACCCCCCGAGGGACCTGGGGAGCATCGAGCCCCCCTGGAGACCTGAGCGGACCAATGCCCCAGAGTCTGCACGGCACGGCACGGCGCGGCCCCGCCCCGCGCCCCCTCGGTGTGGGCACCGCAGCAGGGCCCAAAGGCGCCTCGCGGCGCGGCGCCCCGCCCGCCCCGTTCGACACAGGCAGCGCCGACGGGGTTCACCCTCCTCCTCCTCTGGGAGGCGAGTGCCCGCTGGAACCGCCAGGGCTCCCCAGGGCTCCCGCAGACGCCCACGACCGTCCTGAACCCTCGGTGTCCAAGGAGGTGGTAGCCCCCCCCTCGCACTGCCCGATTGGTACAAAACCGCGATGACTCCAGATCAGATGCGGATTCCCTTCGCGGCTTCCCTTGGCCTCGAAGGCCTGCTGTGCGGAGTGTGGCTGGCTGGAGCAGCAATTTCACGGCGGAACGTGTCGCGGTCACGTCGGCGCTGGCTCAGCATTGGACGATCGCGCCTTTCCAGCAGCGCCGATCGCTCGACATCGGACGATTCGGGGACACAGGCGGCGTTCAACCCTAAGCGTCAGCGGTGTGGTCGCCGCCGCAGCAATGTGGCGCGAACCTGCCGTAGCACTGCAGTGACCGCTGAAGCTCTGCCGAGCTGGCGGTCCAAGTCCTGCAGGCGGCGGCGCGGCTGAGCAGTCACCCTCCTGGATCGCTGCAGCGCCCACATCGCTGTTCAGAACTTCAGCACTGCAGCGCCGTCGCGCAGCGGCGCGGCGGCCCCAGGACTCTCCAGCAACGGCGCGCTGGACCGACCGTCGAGTCATCGTATGCAGTCTGGGTCTCTGAACAGAACTCCGACCAAAGGCGCGTCCTGACCTTGACTCCTAGACTGGTCCAACCGTGGCGACTAAGGCACCCAGAAAACAAAACATGATCGGCCCACGAACACGGAAAAGGATATAGAACTGTCCGACTTGGGCAGTGGGCAATGGCACTGCTGACGATGTCCATTGTGATGATGCCGTGCCACGGGCTGCGCTGTGATGCGCTGTGCCATACTGTGCTCAACTGTGCTGGGCAATAATGTGGTGTACTCGACTGCGCTGTGGATCCAGTCATCGTTGACGTCCGTGTCTTGACGCGCCACGGGAAGTACCACGGAACGTGCCAGGAGAAAAAGCAAGGGACGACCCAACCTGCTCTTCGCCGCTGGATCCGCGCTCCGAGGGCCACGAGACCATGTCAATGTCACGGGGTCCGCGCTCCTAAAGCCACAACCCCCGTGCACATTCCGCTTGATCCGAACTCCCAGCGCCACGATCCCTCGAAGATCACTGGGTCTGAATTCCCAGGGCCACAATGCCGCGTGAATGACAAAAGATTCGCGCTCCCGGGGCCAAGATGCTGCGTCAGTTACGCTGAAATCGGGCTCCCAGGGCCAACATCCCTAATCAATGACACGGCGCCCGCGCTCCCAGGGCCACGATTCCTCGTAACTTAGTCTGCGTCCGAGCTCCCAGCGCCACGACCCCTTGAACCTTACACTGCGTCCGCGCTCCCAGGGACACAACCCATTACACATTGCGCTGGGGTCGCCCCCCAAGCCCACCATCGTTGTCAATTACGCTGTGTCGCGCTCCCAGGGCCGCTATCCCTCGACGCGCCAGGGGACGTGCCATGGAAGCGCCAGGGACACGCCAGGGACGCGTCAAGCCAAGGGACGTGCCAAGGGACGCGCCAGGGGACGTGCCACGGAACGTGCCACGGGACGTGCCAGGGGGACGACCCAGCCTGCTCTGAAACTCTTCTCCAATAGATCCGCGCTCTCACGGCCACGATGCTCTGTAAGTGTCACTGGATTCGCGCTCCAAGAGCCACGACCCCTTGAACAATACGCTGCGGCCGTGCTCCCAGCTGCTCGATCCCTGGTAAATGACGCTGCGTCTGCGCTCCCAGGGCCAGGATGCTGCGTGAATTTCGCTGCGATCGGGCTCCCAGGGCCCTCCCAGGACCACGATCGGTGTACATGACCTTGTAAATCATACTACGTCCGCGCTCCCAGGGCCACTATCCCTCGACGTGTTATAGAGGGCAAAAAATCCACCCCGATAATAACCACCCCGACACGCGAAGCCGTTTAGTAAACGCACCCAAGGGAGGAATCAAACAGGGCAGGGCTGTTTAATAAACGCCCAGGGCCGTTTAAAAGACGCCAATTGTCCGGTCCGGGTGTGGGTGTTATTGTTCCTCCCTTGACGCTAGTTGACGTGCCAATGGAAGCGCCAGGGAACACGCCAAGGAACGTGTCAATGGACGTGCCATGGGATGCGTGTCAGACGCGCCTTAGGCGAGGCATCGAGGAAAGCGACCAGCGGCGAGGCCGAAACCACGTGCAAGTCGCAGATGTCTTAACAGGCCCACTTTCCCAATCCTCCACTATCGTCCGACCCAAATCGGCCTGCTCGTCGTCTGGTTTTCGAGTCATCCCTGGCATCCCTGGCCGACGTCCAGGACGATCCCAGCACCCCCCCGACGACTCTCGGCAAGGCGCAGCTGCTGGAGAGCAACACAAGGCTGAAAACACCAATCTCAAACCCCTTTGTCGTCAAGCTCTCCCTGTCTTCCAACCCGACTCGACCTTCCCCGCCAGGGGTCGGGCATTGCTAGAAATAGTCATGGCCCACGGTGTCCCCGGCCTGTCACGCCATTCTGGAGCCCCTGGAGCTCTCTGGGCCTGGTGAGGATTGCTGGAGGCCGCGCGGGGGCCTCCTGGCAATCCTGGGGGCACCTGGGGCCAGGGATGCGTCTAGCCACCGCCAACCCCGCCAGGGCGGGGGGACGGGGCCTTCCGGCGTTGGTTCGCCACCGAGTTGAGGTGCGCGATGCACCTCACGAGGCGCCGTTGCTCCTGGACTGGCCGCGCGGCGGGGGGTCGGGGGACGAGAGAAAAGAGAGCTTCTAGGATCAAGGGTCGAGGATGAACGAGGAGGACCGAAGAGAGGGATCGAGGGCCGAAGAGGATCGAGGAGGAACGAGGACCGAAGAAGAGGATCGAGGATCGAGAAGGATCGAGCAGGATCGAGAATCGAAGAGGATCGAACATGATCGAAGAGGATCAAGGATCGGGGAGGGGGGCGGATCGAGAATCGAGGATCAGAGGTTTCCGGCTGGCTTTGAATTATTCTGAATGTTTTGGCAAACTTTCGGGCCCCGAATTGCCTTCCATCAGCCGAGCCTCGCCAAGATGCGTTCCGGGGACGCCTATCGTCGCGAACGGCTGCTCCAGGCAAAACTATCGCCCGATACCCAGCCGGCCCAAACACCTCGCGTCGTGAAACTGTATCGGTCCACGGACCCGGAAAGGGATATGATCTGCCCTAACTTGGGTAATGGACAGTGGCAATGCTGATGATGATGACTGTGGTGGTGATAGCTTGCCAAAGGCTGTCCTCTGCTGCGCTGCGCAATGACATGCTGTGCCGTGCTGAACTGTGATATTCCGTACTGTGCTGTACTTTACGGCGTGATGGATCTGGTCGTCATTGGCGTCCGTATCTCGGCCGAACTGATCTGGGTCTTCAGCTAGAGCTGCCCAAACTCATGGCACGGCCAGAGCTGGTTTTACTCAAAATGTGCGGGGCGCTCAACCAGCTCGAGCTCACGATCGGAGTCAGCCCCAACACGGGGCGAACCCAGGAGGCCCCCAAGAAGCCCCCCCAAAACCCAAGAGGCTTCAATACTACGCCCCGAAGAGGCCCCAAGAAGCAACCCTGAGAAGTGTGACCTACGGTGGAGGAGTGGGCCGAAGCCCATCCGATAATTCTCCCGAGAAGCCCTGCCAAGGGATCGCCAAATCTGGGATCGGTCTGGCACCTTGGAATCCCGTGATCTCCCGTGGCCTCCCGCGGTCTCCAGCGGCCTCCTGCAATATGCATGTATTGAATAATGCGTCTGGATAATGAAATGACCAATGCGACTAGCATTAATATAAGCATTCGATCTCGCACTCGCAATACTACTGCTCTTAGTATTAGTAAATGACGTGTTCAGATTAGCAAATACGGTCGTTTGTGTATGCACCAGTGCTCTGAATAATGGTATCAAGAATGGTAACCTGGATCTTGCATTCGTATTCGTAACCGCCGTGAAACCAACACGAACAGTGGATGCATGCGTTTCTGTACTTGTAACATTGGACAGAATGCTCGTACGAATACTGAAACGAATATAAGCATGAGCGTACGCAATAATCGGTTTATCAACACGCAAGCAATATTATGACACGTGCTAACAAAAATGTAGGTGCCTCGATCCGTGCTAGTAGTACCCGTAAGATACGCATTAGCATTGGCATCCGTAGTCGAGCTAGTACCAACTGTTGGTCTAGTAGCAGTAGGAGTGGTGACTGTCTTGCATCACGAATATTACCTAGCACCGATAGCACATGTAGTAGCAGTCGCGGTAGCATTTGCAATACACTCACAAGTAGTTCGGTGTAACCTGAGAACTGAGCGTTCGTGTTATTACTCTTATTAATAGTAAGCCGCACTATTGAAACATGAGTAGTAGCAGCAGGAGTAGCAGCAGTTGCGGTAGCAAAGCCCAGGAAGTGGTCGGCCAGGCCCCTTCGTAAAACTGTTCCAACTCTTCTGCCACAAGGGTGCCGCTTCTGCCCCCGAAGAAGGGGGCAACAATTGAGAAACCCCCTTTCTTGATCGATGGTCGCCAAAATGGCCCCAAGAGCGCCCGCAAGGCCTCCAAGATGGCCCTGGGAAAACCACGAGAAGGTCTTAGAAAAGCCCCGAAAACCCCTGATGCGAAAACCGCGCATCCATGAAGGACGTGCGGGCAGAGAGCGAGGTCAACAAGTTGCAAGAACCGCGTCTGGCGCGTCGAATCAGTGGAAGGAGAAAGAGAGGAGGGGAGACGGTGGACGAAAAATGTTTCCATCATGCGCTCAATTGATCCAGCTTGTGAAAGGAGTGTGCCCATTGTCGTCTGGGTCTCCCTCTGCGTCGTCGGCAAGCCTGGTTCTTGGGCGCGCCATCGCCGTTGCACGCCGGGTCGTTTTGACAAGAAGTTGTCTCGATAAGAAGCGATTCGTTTGTAGAGTTCCCCTTGTCGATCACATCACTTTGCAGAGAGCGGCTCGGATCCAGCACGCGCAAGCACGATGGCGGTTAAGACTCTCGGACAATGACAATGAGGGATGCCCAATACCTGTCGCAAACATCTGTAATGCAAAACGCCCAATATAGTTCTATCAGTCTTGAACAGCCACAACGAATACATATAATATCTTGCTAATCGCGCGACTGGTGTAGATTTGGATCGTTTCCAGATCTTGCAAAATTGCATGGATGCCCATTATCTTCGCCCGATTCCCGTTTTAGTTCGTTTCCAACTCGCCCGTCGCTCGTAATATAACCTCCTAAATAGACTGCTTCTGTGACACGTTTGTTTTTTTTCCCCGTCGGCATCGCCAACAAGCTGTCAGACACTATTTGTCCCAATGAAGTCACACACCATATCTTTGCCCTTATAATGCGTTCGCATTAAGCACTGCTTTGGAATTTCCCGCATGGCTTGAAAGGAGCAACGTGTCATCTGCGTCAAGAGCGTCTCGGGCGACAACGTACCTGATTTCATCTTGTCGTTGAAAACCGTCGAAAACACCACGAAGCATCACGGATTCAACTACAATAAATCCGCCGATCCGGCGATTGAGTTTCAAAGACCCTCAGATATAGCCTGAACCTCAGTTCTTGAGCTTCAGCTCTGCTGGCTCTGCCGGGGTAGGGGGGGGGGTCCGAGACAATTTTGGTGGCAAAATCGGAGCTCCAGCTCACTCCGGGTCGGCCCCTCGCCCCGGAGAGCTCGAACGCGGGGCCATGCAAAAATAAATTAGCTTGGCGAAGAAACCAACCATATGCAGATGTGAGCACCGCAGCTGTGGGTTTCATCTTCAGTGGAACTCCCCATAGGACCACGGAACGTGTGAGGGGTGTGCCGCGATGGGTGCCACTGGGGCTTTCGGTGAAGCTCCCTGTGGGGCCATGAAACACGTGCGGGGTGTGCCGACATGGGTGGCGGAAACGCATGTGAGGGCCGCCACTGGGGCCTCCAGTGGAGCTCCCTATGGGGCCCCGAAACATACAGGGGGGGGCCGGGATGGGAGGCGGAGACGCATGTAAGTGCCGCCACTGGGGCCTCCGGTGGAGCTCCCTACGGGGCCACGCAGCGTGTGAGGGGTGTACCGGGATGTGTGGCGGGGACGCATGTGAGCGACGCCACTGGGGCCTTCGGTGGAGCTCCCTATGGGGCCACGAAACCTGTGAGGGGCGTGCCGAATTGCGTGCGGGTGACGCATGTGAGCGCGGCCACTGGGGCCTTCGGTGGAGCTCCCTATGGGGCCACGAAACCTGTGAGGGGCGTGCCGGGATGGCTGGTGGGGACGCATGTGAGCGCGGCCACTGGGGCCTTCGGTGGAGCTCCCTATGGGGCCACGAAACGTGTGAGGGGTGTGCCGAATTGGGTGGGTGTGGGTGACGCATGTGAGCGCTGCCACTGGGGCCTCCGGTGGAGCTCCCTACGGGGCCACGAAACCTGTGAGGGGTGTGCCGACTAGGGTGTGCGTGACGCATGCGCATGTGAACGCCGCCACTGGGGCCTTCGGGAGCTCCCTAAGGGGCCACGAAACGTGTGAGGGGTGTGCCGAATTGGGTGTGCGGGACGCATTGGGGCCTTCGGTGGAGCTCCCGGGACGCATGCGGGCGGCGGCACTGGGGCCTTCGGTGGAGCTCCCTATGGGGCCACGAAACGTGTGAGGGGTGAGCCGAAGTGGGTGTGCGTGACGCATGCGGCCGGCGGCACTGGGGCTTTCGGTGGAGCTCCCTATGGGGCCGCGAAACGTGAGGGGTGTGCCGAATTGGGTGTGCGTGACGCATGCGGCCGGCCGCGCTGGGGCTTTCGGTGGAGCTCCCTATGGGGCCACGAAACATGTGAGGGGTGTGCCGAAGCTGGTGACGATGATGGTTTCGATGATGGCGATGATGATGGTGATGAAGATGATAGTGACGATGATGACGGTGGTGACGATGATGAGGACGACGACAGTCACGGTGACGATGGTGATGATGATGACGATGGTGATAATGACGATGATGCTGGTGGGATGGAGGAGGAGGAGGAGAGGAGGAGTGAGGACGCGGGGCGCTGTTTGTTCAAAACGAGGACACAACACCACAGGATGGTTGGGAGGGGAAGAAGAAAACAACAACAACAACAAGAACAACAACAACAACAACAACAGCAACAACAACAACCACAACAACAACAACAACAACAAAAACAAAAACAAAAACTACAAAAAAAACAACCACAACAACAACAATAAACTACTACAACTACTACTACAACAAGAGGGCCCTGAATGGCCGAAGTGTCGCTCCAAGACACTCAATATGTTCCTCAGACGGCTCCAGAAGCCTCCAACGTACCCTCCCGACACCTCCTAAGAGCGCCCAAAGACGGAAAGACCGCCCCACTCCCGTAGGAAAACGTATTGAGTTTGAATTATCGTTTCTTCGGACTTCGCAGTGTCCAACACGGCCCAAGAGACCCCCAAAACAGGCCCAAACCCTGTCAAGTGGGCCCGAAGACGGCCCACGAGGGCCCAAGACGGCCCGGGAGGCCCCCCAAGACAGCTCAAGCGGGCTCCAGGACGGGCCCAAGAAGCGCCCAAGAGAGCTCCATGACGGCCCCAGAAAAGCCCAAGATGGCCCAAGAGGCGCCCAGGAGGCACCGAAATGGCCCTAGGAGCCCCCAGGAAACCCGGAGAGGCTCCAAGTGGCCCTCAAAAGGTCCTCAAAACGCGCCCAAAAGCGCCCCCCAAGGCTTAACAATAAA